CGTGTGTCCGTCCACTTCCCAGAATCCCTCTCACTAGCATCCATCTTGGCTGAGCGATGCGTGCGCCACCGGGAAAGACTCTGAATTAGAATGATTGGCGAAAGACCACCCGGAAACTAATCCCATCACCATAAAACCCGAGACTGCGAGCTACGTGGCAGAGCAGTTCTCCTGGGTTCCCTCATCCTCCTGCTCTCCACCCTGGCGTCCTTTCCCAATAAAATCTCTTGCTTTGTCAGCACATGTGTCTCCTCGGACAATTCATTTCTGAGTGTTAGACAAGAGCCCAGTTTCGGGCCCTGGAAGGGGACCCCTTTCCTGCAACAATTGCACTTTCTCAGAAAATGAAACTGAAGCAAGGCTGTGGTCATGTGACAGGTGGCGGGGTATAAAGCTGGCAGCCTCAAGCCTCTAGCTTCCAGATCTGCAGAAGCATGCCGGCCCCAGGAATTCCTCTCCCTGGAAGTATGGAATGTCCTTCCTGTCGGCATATCTCCAAAGAGAAAGTCCCGAAGTTCTGCAGCGAGTGTGGACAGAGGCTGCTTCCTGCAGCCCCCGAAGGAGTACCAGGTAAGGCTCCGATGGGGCTGGGAGCCTGGTGCAGGTGGTGGGGAGGGCAGTTAGCTCAGTCCCTCTTCCATCCCTAGAAGTGGAGACCTTGACCAGCAGGCAGCCCAGGCTAGCAGGTCTTCTGTGATAGAGAATTGTTTCTAGAGGAAACTTTCCTTAGAAATACAGTTTTTATCCACTCCTTTGCTGAAAGCATCTGTCACTTTTTAAAGAGTTTCAGTTTCATTTCTTGGAGAGAACTTGGAGTTTCCTTTTTCCTTAGGGAATGGCAAGTGTTGGGCTGAGCTGAGGGATCTTAGCAGTTTTCAGAGGATGCTGTATAAAGTGGCATCCCAGGCCCCCCTGGTGGGGGAGGGGCCCCCACAGCTTGCACAGGCGCCTTCGTGATGAGGGGTGGCTCATGGGTGCATGAAGGAGGACCCGTGTCAGGTGGCCCTCACCTGCTGACTCTGGTGGGTCCTTGATTCTCTTGATGCCTAGGACATTGGACTGTCTCCCTGCTCCTTCTAGTACATGCTAGACATGCTCTGACCGCAGGACCTTTGCACTGCCTGGTCCCTCTGCCTGGAACACACCTTTTCTTAGAGGGCAGCACAGCTTCCCCTATCCCTGCCTTCCAATCTTTGCTCAAGTGTCTCCTCTTGTGGAGGCCCACTCTGACCACCCAGTTGCAAACTGTGCCTACCTCACCCTTTCACTCCGGACTGCACTTCCCGAGGCTGTTTGTCCCAGTAGCACTTGGATGACACCATGGTGGGTCTTCAGAGACCTTTGCTGTCTTATTCACTGCTTTATCCCAAGTCTCTGTATGTTGCCTGGAACACAGTAGGTGATCAATAAATACTTGCTGAGTGAACTGAAGAAGGTGCAGTTTGAATCAGGGATGAGATAGACGCCCCCCAGTTCTTTTAATTGGTTCTGTTTCGGCTGCATTTGTACAAAGTGCTCCTGTTACAGATGCACTCTTTGGACTGTGAGAGGTATGGAGAGGTGGCCACTTTTTGTTGCACTTCTTGTTGTTGCTTTTCTTATTGGTTTTTTCTTGTTGCTAATAATTTGGGAGGAGCTTGGTGGGCAGCCAGGTGTTGAATCATGGCATGGCATAGCTGAAGTTTTGGTATCCAGTTGTAATTTCCCACCTTCCAGAGCTCCCCACCCCTGGTCACTAGAACATCTGCCGGACTAGGGGTTCTTGGGAGGAGGGGTCTTTGGGACCTCAGAGACTAAAAGCACAAATAAGACCAATACCAATCAGCTAACTGGTGATTTGCCCAGTGCTATGCTCAATATTGAAGGAGGAGCTATCATCAATCCCCATTTTACAAATGCCAAGAGTGAAGCAAAAGGAGAAGTATCTATTCACAGTCACGCAGCTGGCAACTGGTAGAGAAAAGATTTTGAACTCAGGAGCCAGAGCCAGTTCCCTAGAAGGAAGCTGTGGTTGAGGTCTTGTTGGCCTTAGCATCGTCGGGGAAGAAGTTTTCCTCTTCCCTTCTAGGTCCCCTTGGCTTGTCTAAGAATTAAGTTGACATGAGATGGATTAACAGGAGAAAATCAGGGCTTCGTTTGAGTCTCAAGTCCTGTGGCTGGTGCCTCCTGAGACTCACCCCTTTGGGAGAGTCAACAGGAAACTCACTCCTCCTGGCCTCCCTTCAGTTTTGTGTGAGGGGCTTTCACAGGGCTGCTAAGAGCAACTGGTGTGTTTTCCAACATAACAGGGGGGAAAAAGCCTTGTCTGAGAACACTAGGTCATCTTCTAGGGTCTTGCATGTCCAAGCAGGTAGGGAGAGCAGGCAAGACAGCCGTCCACCTCGGCCCAGTCAGAGGTCATTCTGGAGTGCCTACTCTTAGCAGGGCTTGGTCACTACCAAAGTGGACAGCCCGTACCTCTGAGATGCTTGGCATCACTGCCAGTTCCAGGGGCAAAGGCTTTGAGAGCTTTTGGGAGTTGGTTGGCTTCTAAGCTGCCGACTTATCCTCTGTGAGCACCATGCTAAAGTGCCATTAGTGCTAAAGGGCCATTTACCTTAGGGCTGGGTCACTGGGGGTGGTCCCTCACCCATCGGTGGGGGTGGGAGGGGAGGAGCTGGGCCCTGGTCACTCCGTGTGGGGCACACAGTAGGGCTGAGGACCTGGGTGTTGAATGAGACTGCTAGTTTCCTTCTTCTGTCCCCCACCCACTTCCTGCTGGCTTCTCTGCTTCTCTCACCCCACCAAGCCTCTACTTACAGGAATGGAAACTGAAACCAAACTGTTAGGAGGCTTGGCTGCTAAGGGGGGTTATCTCCACCTTTTAGCCATTTGTAGGTCTGCCAGGCCGGGAGCTCTGGGCATCCTGGACACTGGCCTCCCTCTGGTGCTGCGGGTGCAAGTTCCTCGCGAACTTGAGCAGGGCTTGGAGCCAGAAGCTGTGGTGTAGCTTCCTGGAGGTACCCAGGACGACTGAATCTGAGGGGAGTGAGAGGCCGCGATCAGGACGTGAAAGTGAAACATGAAACCCAAGTTCTGTTCATGGAGCCAAAGACTGAATTCTGCAAACTAGCAAAATCATACAGGCAAAGTTTATTTTTAGAAGACAGAGATGCAAAGCCCTCAGCATAGACATTGAGAGGGGGTGAAGAACCTCCCAAAAGGCAAGGATTGCAGCAGTTTCATATCTTTACTAGTATTGATCTGTACATTTTTGGTTGGCTCATGACTTTAATATACGTCCTTTCTGATCAATTAGGTTAAACAGCCCAGTGTCCAGTTTGTCATTTTTATAGCTTTCTTGGATCCCCCAGTTTCTAAGTTTTTCCAGACATTTCAGCACCATCCCTCAACCCTTTCTCAATACCCAAGACCATTATTTGGGGGCTAGATGTATGTTTAGGAGCTAATTGTCTACCTGGAGTTTTTCTCCTTGATAAACTGGACAGCAGTTAATGATTGTCTTGTCCTGGATCTGAAGGTTTTATGACCCTCCAGACCAGGGAGGCATTCCTCTGAATGCCTGGAAATTGGAACAAAGAGTGAGATGCGTACTTGAGAAGAGAAAAATTGAAATTAAATTAAAAAAAGAAATTGAGTTCTCAAAGTCTTATACTGTCTAACAATTTCTGCCTCAAAAGGAGAGTATGTGGAGAGTTCCAGGCCGCCTGGCTTTTGCCAAGGGTCATGTGCATCTGGTCTCCGGTGGACGGCTTCCAATGTCAGTAGGTCCAACAGGGCAGGGGGTAGCAGGTGGTCAGGAGGCCCCCCCCCACCCCAGTTCCCCACTGTTCTGACAGGTGCCCCAAGTGGGACTCCCTACTTGAGTGCTAAAAGATTATTTTTTGGAAGTATCAGGCGAGTGTATGCTCCTTGATTCTTTGTCTCGTCACAACAAAGATTTGGAGTGATGGACATTAAAGCCCCCTCAGTGGGTCACAGCTCTCGGGTCTTGAAGAGACCGTATAGCTCTCAGGTCTTGAACGGACCGTGTTATAGCTCTTATAGAAATCAGTGTTACAGCTAAGCATTACAGCTCTATTTTATTTAGAAGATAGCAGGAAAACCCATCTTCGAGGTGTGAGGGCACGTCGATCCAAAGACGGGAAGAGAAGAGCACCCCATCGTGCAGGAGAGAGAGAGTGAGAGCCCTTTGGCTCCTCTTTTTATGTTTTTTCCTTCCCCCTGGGCCTGTCCTATGCAAATTGGGCTTGGCCAGGAGTGCTGTTCTACCTGAAGTCCTCACTCCGGTCCTCGGACCTTCCTTTGACCTTCCTCTGTTCTATTTTCGTGGGCTTTTCCCTTCCTTGTCTTTTAGCCACCGCCATTTTCCATACTCCTTTTCCCAATTCTGACTACCTAACAGAAGGGAGGTGGTTTCTGGGAAGTGTATTTTTCCTTATATTTTCTACATTTCCAAGTTTTTCTTGTTGATGTTTTTATAACTTTTCTTAAATCTGCTGAGTTTTCATTGCCTTCAGCAGGAAATAACCCTGGGTGCTAAAGTAGCTTGTTTTGAGGTGGGAAATTCTGCTCCCCTTCAATGCCCACCACACCTGACCTAGGGGCTGTCAGGTGGTGGGAGGAGTGGGTGGGCTGGGAGAATTGCATTGTTCTATGTAGTGGTTTTCATTTTTTTTAATTGTGATAAAATATTTAAGAACAAGTGATGGGAGAGATGATCACAAACTGAGATATGGGGAAGTCATTGCGGCTTCTACATGATTCAGCCTGAACTCTGTGAACTGGAACAGCCTGACTCATGGCCTGTCAAACATGCCTCACACATGTGCTTTAACTGTTAGCAACAATGCTTTGAAGATAGGGATCAATGCCCCCTGTGCTGTGGTGTCCACATCAACAACCCCCACAAACTTGAGGTTCTCTTTCTAGACACCAGGGTCATGCTGACTTGCTGTGTACATGATAACCTACTTCACGGATGTCCCCGTCTCATGTTTGGTGTATGTCCTTTGTTCTGACAAAGTCTAAAACTGAAGACCAGGGTCCAGTGGAGCAGTTCCTCAGAACTATTGAGAGGCTGTCACCTGGGCTGTAGTCCTCAGTTTTGCTTGAATAGAACTCTCTTCTAGAGGGCTTCCCTGGTGGCTCAGTGGTAAAGGATCCACCTGCCATTGCAGGAGACATGGGTTTGATCCCTGGGTTGGGAAGAGAAGGTCCCCTGGGGAAGGAAATGGCAACTCACTTCAGTATCCTTGCCTGGGAGATCCCATGGACATTGGAGCCTGGCAGGCTACAGTCCATGGGGTCACAAGAGTTGCACAAACTTAGTGACTTAACAATTCCTTATTATAGATTGATTATTGATTATTTGCATTGATGCACAAAATTTACCAATTTAAACACATTTAAGTGGACAATTGAGAAACATGACAGGAGTATTTCCTGTCATATCAATAAAGATGTCACAGTCACCAGCAGTTGCAGCCACTGTGAATGGTGAGCTGGTGAGCCCTGAGGGAACCCAGGAAGGAACGAATACCTGCTACCTAGCAGCCATCAAACTGTAGCCACTCCCTGCGGTGAGCCCTGAGGAACTCTGGATGTGAAAACAAGATACTGGCCCCAGATAGCTGAGTCACCTATCAAATGAATGATTTCAGTGAGCCCAGATATTTGCATCTTCCCATACATAGAAAAGTGCTGAATTTCTTAACTTGGGTTACCTGGTTTTCTTTAATTAGCAATAATCTTTTGATGTTTAGGCTCCCTGCCCTTTGTTGCAAAGCTTCTGTGTCAACTGGCTCCTCCCCTTGCCTCCTTGGAGCAGTTCTTACGGGGTAACTTGAGATCCCGTCTTGGCGGGTTGAAGTCCTAAGAATTCCTACTGAATAAAACACATAACTCTCAATGTTTAGGTTATGAGTTTTTTTTTTTTTTTTAGATTATTTACTTATTTGGCTGTGTCAGGCTCAGTAGTTGCAGTGTGGGCTTAGTTGCTCCGAGGCATGTGGGATCTTCCTTCCCCAACCAGGAATAGAACCTGCATCTCCTGCATTGCAATGTGGATTCTTAACCACTGGACCACCAGGGAACTCCCGAGGTTATGAATTTTTTTTTCATTTGACACAGTTCAGTGGCATTAGGCACATTCACATTGTTTTGCAACCAGTCACCACCATCCATCTCCAGAACTTCTTCCTGTTTTTACACAGAAACTCTGTCCCCATTAGACACTAACCTCCCTTCCCCAACCCCAAACCCCTGGCATCTGCCATCCTACTTTCTGTCCCTGTGACTTTGACTTCTCTAGGCAACCTCATATGAAAGCTTGAGGTATGTGTAATTTTCTTTAACCTTCAGGACAAGGCAGCTGCAGGGAGGGGTGGGGATTGCTGTGGGAGGGCAGAGGAAGCAGACTCAGAGCTGCTGCTGGGGTTCATTTGGGAGCCCAGAAGTGGAGTCTGTTCAGCTGACTGATTTAGGTTGAACTATTTCTGTAGCAGTGATTTCAGGCTGCCTGTGAGGTCCCTGCCCTCCTCCCCCATTCATGGGTTGATCAGCCATTAACCAGATTTGGGGATCTGACTCCCTTAGCACTTTCTGGATACCTGTGTGTCTGTTCCCATCCGTCTGCAGGGATGCTTCAGGGTAGGTCATGCTGCCTAATGTGCATGCACCCGGTGAGCCCGTACTTCATGAGGCAGGGGCAGGAATTTTCTCTGGTTCAGCCGCAGTCCTGGGGAAAGGACGATGGCCATGTCACTGTCCCCAGGGCCTATCCTGGCCTCTGAGCCTGGATTCAAATCCTGCTCCCCACCTTGCCAACTGGGGGCTTGAGAAGGTCACAGCGTGGCTGTGAGTACTTGATGGGTTAACATGCAGAGTGCTCAGTAGAGATTCTTAAGTTTTGCTCTTACTGAATACGGCTAGTTTCCTTTTTATATTGATAAGTGTAGAAGTAATACATGCTGGTATGAATAACCCATATGTTACGACGGGAGGATATGAAAAATGGTAACCCCCTCAGCTTACCCCCAGCCCAGATCCTTCACACCCTTATGAACACAACACTTAACTGTTTGGTGTGTCACCTTCCAGATGTTTCCTCCACGTGGTGGAAAACTAATGCGCCCTGCTTCCATCATGTGGCACTGTGCCATGGCCTCTAGTTGAGACTGGCCTCACCTCTGCCACGCAGCAGCCAGTCCTATCCTGGACTCCTGTTCTGCCATAAATGCACATGGCTGGGCCGGATGCTGGCAAGGGGTCTGCCCCTGGTGCCAGTGTGTCTCAAGGACAAGCTCCAAGGAGCATCCTTGTGCATTTACAACGGAAACCTTCAAGTCCACAAGGCTTCCCCCAGCCTCTCCTCTGCAGGCTCTTCGAGGTTTCGTCTCCAGCCACACCAGGGTGTCTAGCTTTGGGCCAGTCAGATTGGTAGAAGGAGGTACCTCTTGGATTATATTGCTACTTCCTTGATTGGTAGGGTAAATAAGTGTCTTCTCAAAGGTTAAGAGCTCACTTATAATTCCTTTTCCTGAACTGCTTGTTTTCTTTGGGGAATTCCCTTTTTTTAAAGTTATTCTTATTGATTTTTCAGTCACTGGGGCTGTTTGTATTGGAGATGACCGGACACCCAGCTCCCTGCTTCCTCAGCGGGATGCATGCACTGGGCCTCACACAGTCACTTCCAGACTGAGGGAGTCAGGTCTCTGCACAGCTCTGCATCTGTCTCAGGTCCCGGCGGCCCTGCTTTGTCCTCAGGCTGCTGCCTTCATGGAGGCAAACTAGTTGATTCCAAGCACAGGGTCTGTTTGTCTGACCGGAAGGAAGGAGTTGATGGGTCAGAAACGGCATTAACTAGCACTGGACCCCTGCTGTACTTCTGCCAATCACTGGAACTGGAGAAATGCCAGGTTCTGATTGGATCAGTCTAATGGCGGCCCCACCCCCTGCAGTGGAGGCTGGTGGAAGAGAGAGGAGGTCAGCATGCCCACAGTTTATCAAAGGACAGTGGCCCTTGCTGTCGTGTGTTACAAATATCCTCCCAGTTTTATTTAGTTCTTTGGCCTTAAGTTTCATTTGTAGATGAACCTTAGATGTTTGTAGATGTTTAATATATTTGTTCAGTTCAGTTAAGTCGCTCGGTCATGTCCAACTCTTTGCAACCCCATGGACTGTAGCACGCCCGGCTTCCCTGTCCATCACCAACTCTGAAGCTTGCTCAGGCTCATGTCCATCGAGTCAGTGATGCCATTCAACCATCTCATCCTCTGTCATCCCCTTCTCCTGTCTTCAATCTTTCCCAGCATCAGGGTCTTTACAAATGAGTCAATTTGCCTCAGGTGGCCAAAGTACTGGAGTTTCAGCTTCAGCATCAGTGCTTCCAGTAAATATTCAGGACTGATTTCCTTTAGGATTGACTGATTTGATCTCCTTGCAGTCCAAAGGACTCTCAAGAGTCTTCTCCAACACCACAGTTTAAAAGGATGAATTCTTCGGCATTCAGCTATCTTTATAGTCCAACTCTCACATCCATACATAACTACTAGAAAAACCACGGCTTTGACTAGGCAGACCTCTGTTGCCAAAGTAATGTCTCTTCTCTGCTTTTTAATACGCTGTCTAGGTTGGTCATAGCTTTTCTTCCAAAGAGCAAGTGTTAATTTTATGGCTGCAGTCACCATCTGCAGTGATTTTGGAGCCCCAAAATAAAGTCTGTCACTGTTTCCACTGTCTCCCCATCTATTTCCCATGAAGTAATGGGACCAGATGCCATGATCTTAGTTACCTGAATGTTGTGTTTTAAGCCAACTTTTTCACTCTCCTCTTTCACTTTCATCAAGAGGCTCTTTAGTTCTTCTTCACTTGCTGCCGTAAGTAAGGGTGGTGTCATCTGCATATCTGAGGTTATTCTTATTTCTCCCAGCAATCTTGTTTCCAGCTGTGCTTCATCCAGCCTGGCATTTCGCATGGTGTACACTCTTGCCCACCCGACAGCAGAAATTGTACCAGGCTTGTCTCACTGTAGCCAAGACAGCCCCTTGAGTGGGGAGAGGACTAATCTTGAACAGCGCTCATGGGAGGAGTCCAAGTTTTCCCTTGGGACATTCACTTGTTTTTCTGAGATGTGACCCATGTGCATCTGCCTTTGTAGGTTCTCAGAGCAACCTCAAGGAAACATTGGCCCCAGAGGGAGAAATGGAGTGTGGACAGGAGCTGAAGGAAGAAAGCAGTTCCTCCTTGTCCCTGGGCTCAGGTGATTGGCAAGAAAACCCAGATGAGCCCCGTTCGAATGACTCACGGAAAACCAAGAGAGTGAGTGTCTGGCCCCTGGGGAAGTGGATCTGGGAGGTGTGGTTCTGCCCATCTCCTAGCTTTGCAAGGACGCTGTTTCCTGCTGTGGTTTCATCAGTGGCTGAGCAAGTGTCCCTACAGCATCCTCTCCAGGACAGCTTCACTTCACTGCTGCCCAGCCTGTTGGCCCCTGCATGCTGGGCTGCGGCAGAACGCCCCTTCTGTGCCTGATTTGTGTAGCGTCTCTGCATCCCCCTCCCTTTTTCTCCCGCCATACCCAGCATGTCGTGTCTCCCAGATGCTGTGGCGGGGCTGCATCTGGGTGTCTGAGCTTCTGCCATGTGGGTGTCTGTCTCTGCTCTGGGCATTTTGCATGGACCAGACAGTTCCTAAGGTGCCTCCAGGCTCTGGGGAAACGGAGGTGCTCTGAAAATGCCACCATTCCTCGATGGGGAAGCTGAGCCGTCTAGTCTCCCTATAAGTGTCAGACCCAAAGAGAGTGTCTCCTGAGTGAGTGACCAGGCGGGAGCCCAGGTGAGGCTTGCAGAGAGTTGCCTGACAGATTCAGGACAGATTCATCCTTTTGGATGAGCGAGAGCTCCCCACGCCACAGCCCAGTCTGTCCAGACCTAAGCAGCCAGCTCTGTTCCCAGGTTTCTTGGAGGACTGAGAGGGACGTTGTCTCTCTGCCTGGTTGGGCTGGTTTCCTGTGTGGTCCTTTGTTGTTCCTTGTGGTTGGGTGGTGGGGGAGGTGCTGCAGCTGGCAGCATTGTGGCCCCTTGTGGGTGTGTGTGCATGCCTGTGTGAGAATGTGCACATGTTCCAGTGTGTGTGTGCACAAAGTATGTGTGTGGTATATGCATGTGTGAGTGTGTGTGGTAATTGTGATGTGTGTGAGTGTTTCATTCTCCTTGGACACTAATCCTGTCCAGAGCAGGATGGCCAGCTTTGAGCCTGGGCCAACCTAGATTCTACATAACATGCATTAATGTAACAATATTTCTTTTTCTCTTTCTGACTTACTTCACTCTGGATAACAGACTCTAGGTCCATTCACACCTGTAGGAATGACCCAGTTTTGTTCCTTTTCGTGTCTGAGTGGTATTCCATTGTATATCTCTACCACGTCTTCCTCATCCTTTCACCTGTCAGTGGTCACGGAGGTTGTCTCCATATCCTGGCTGTTGTAAATACTTTAAAAGTGAGTATCAAGGAATTCACACCATTAGGAAGTGTTTGACACTGTGATTGAAAACAGTGTTGAGCCCAGCAGGATTAGAGCTTTTTTAAACCTTGATTGAGTAAGTTTAAGGTTCTCTTGGGAGAAAAAATGGGCAAGAATAACCAAGAAAACTGTTAAAAAGAAATACCTAAAGTGGGACTTGCTGTATTAAATGAACAAAAACATGTTTCAAAGCCAGTTATTAAAACAGTGACTCTTGGGAGGAGCCAATGTACCAGAAATACAACCCAGAAACAGACCCTAATGTGCATAATGTCAGCTGGAAAAAATGTATCTAAATATTTATCTGACCCATGAATGGGGAAGATTTTCTAGTAATTAAAGCAAAGGGTAAAAATACAAACAAAAGATTGGTATATTTGACTATAGAAAAAGTCTTAAAAGAATTAAAAACTTTGTATGATGAGCACAAATGAAGAGTAAACAGCTTAGGAAAATAGACATTTACATATTTGTTAGGAAAATAGGCATTTATATATTTGTATGTACCTAAAAGGGCTTCCCAGGTAGCTCAGCAGTAAAGAATCTGCCTGCAGTGCAGGAGCTGCAGGAGACGGAGGTTCAACCCCTGGGTTGGGAAGATTCCCTGAAGGAGGGCATGGCAACCCACTCCGGTTTTCTTACCTAGAGAATCTCATGGACAGAGGAGCCTGGCGGGCTACACTCCATAGGGTCACAAAGAGTTGGATATGACTGAAATGACATGACTTAGCATGCACATGTACATAAAAAGATTTGTATTTACATAGAAATATTTTAAAATTAAGAGTGAGTTGCCTTAATATGTCAAAAGCTCTTAGAAATCAAATAGAAAACAGTAACCTACCCAATAGAAAGATGACTAGCAATTGATATAGTCCACAATAGAGAAGATAGAAATGGCTATTAAACGTACCACTGTCCCACCTCTGAAATCAAACACTCAAAATTAAAAGAGCTGCAAGGTTTTATATTAAATCTATCAAATTAAAAAATGTATTAGAAGTCAGCGTTTGCAAGAATGGGGTAGGTTTTTCGCTACATTTGAGAGTAATGTGGTGGGGCCCCTAGGAAAGCAGGTACCCTTTGACCTGTTCTGCTTCTCTGCTGTCATCATAAGAAAATAACCTTAGGCATGTGAGGGTTCAGTAGAGGATTTTATCACAGCCTTAGAGTGTGTGTGTGTGTGTTTAGTATTTATTTATTTACTTTTGGCTGCTTTGGGTCTTTGTTGCTGTGCACGGGCTTCTCTAGTTGCAGAGAGTCAGGGCTATTCTCCAGTTGCGGTGCACAGGCTTCTTGTTGCAGTGGCTTCTCTTATTGCAGAGCATGTGCTCTAGGGCTTCAGAAGTTGCAGCACATGGGCTCAGTAGTTGTGACTCATAGGCTTAACTGTCCTGTGCCATGTGGGATCCTCCTGGACCAGGGATCGAACCGGCCTCCCCTGTATTGCAAGGCAGATTTTTAACCACTGGACCACCAGGGAAGTCTCAGCCTTAGTGTTTTATGGCCAAATGTTGGAGTCCACCTGAGTATTCCACCCTGGAGAGTGTCATTTGTATCATCCATATAGCAGAAAGTACTGTGGCCTCCAGCTGTTATTTCCGCCAAATATTTAAGATGTGAGGGAGGAACTTTCCTGGTGGTCCAGTGGTTAAGTTCCTGCTTCCAATGCAAGGGGCGAGGGTTTGATCCCTGGTCAGGGAACTAAGCTGTCACATGCCTTGTGGTGTGGTATAGCAACAAAATTAAAAAATATTTTATACCTACCATGAGGAAGAGGAGCACAGGATGGAGCCAGGGAGTCAGGTTGAAGGTGCTGACTGATCCTGTGGTTCCTTCCAGTCACCTTGGTCCTTGATTTCCTGCTGGGAGCTGGCCTGGGTACCTGGTGCTGACTAGGATGGGCTTTGCACCTGGGCTGCCAGTGTGCTCTGACCCATCTCATTCACTGGCCCTTTCCAAGTGCCCCTCAGAGAACTCCCCTTCCCTTTCCACACTGACTGCCTGCCCCCCATCAGCAGTCAGACGCTCTTGACCGTTCCTGTCTTCCCTCCACCTGGGTGCAGTGCTGGCCATGAGATCCCGTGTGGGAGGCCTAGGTATGACCCCTGACCTGTGCCCAAGGGCCTAATGGACCTCTCTTTTCACCTACAGCAGCTGAGGTGCCAGTAGCTCTGGCCTTGGCTTTGGGCCCAACTTCCCTGTTCTCTGTCCTGCCCGGTTCCCCTCAGTGGCCTGGGGCACAGTGGTGAGTCCCACTGGTCCTCACTGCTTCCTTCGATGAAGGAAGAGATGGCACAGGGCTGGCCCTGTGCTCCCTGGGGTGTGCCATCCAGAGAGATTGGTCACTACCCTGCATGTCCCCATCCCCAAAAGCCCCCTTGAGGCCTGGCCTCAGATGCTGGGCTACCTGCTCCTCCAGGAATGTCCCCATAGCTGCATCTGTGTGGAAGTACCGGCTTGGGCTTTGGGATGGAGCTTAGAAAACCAGGCTCCAGGCCTGCTTGTATGGAAGGTCTGATGTGCCAAGGCTTTCAGACATCAACTCTAATATGGGGCAGCTTGCTTGCATGGATTTGCTCTGCCTGCCACCTGCAGAACCCTTTCTTTTGTCCCCTACACCAGGGACCCTGTGCCTCTGAGCGTGGATGCCAGGGGGCTTGGGAAGCTGGTTCAATCCTCACTCGAGAGCGTCCCCACTTGGGTTTGAGTTAGGGGTCTCTTAGACCCTGATGGAGCAGTGCCTGTGGTCACCCTGCTCTGTCTGAAGGGGATCATGTTTCAACAGGGAGTTGTGTCGGAGGGTTTTGTAGATGCAGCAGATGGCACGTCCACATCCGATGAGCTGGAAGCTGCTAGTTACTCTGCCTGCAAAAGAAGAAAAGAAGATGCAACCCTGTTTGAGGTCACTGACACGTGCGCTCCAGACTCTGAGCAGGTAGTTTGCATTAATAGTGGCCCACGATGCTCCCTGCCAAGGTTTGCATGGAACCAAGCCCCACACCCTCTCTGATGCTGTAGGTGGCTGCTGGGAGGCTTTTTCCACTCCTACCCAGGCTGGTCGGCACAGTAACCATGCCTTTGGGTTTTAGCTCTTGTGACTCTGAGGATGTTCTGCTAATGTTGAATTTCAGCTTTATTGTGTGTGGTCCCCTGTGCCGTGTGTGCTCAGTTACCTAATTGTGTCTGACTCTGGGACCCCATGTGCTTCTCTGTCCGTGGGATGTTCCCGGCAAGAGCACTGAAATGGGTTGCCATTTCCTCCTCCAGGGAATCTTCCCAACCCAGAGATTGAACCCATATCTCCTGCATTACAGGCAAATTTTTTACCACTGAGCCACTGGGGAAGCCCCTGTGGCCGCTATCCCTACTTTTCCATCCATCTTTTAATTTCTTGTGTAGCTATCTCCTTTGGCACGTGGGAAACTTACCCTGAAAGCTCCACAGGCCATGCAAGATTCTCTTTATGGAGAAGAGCAGGGAGGCCTGGGTCTCCCTTGGGGGCTGGGACCAGACTGGTGGGGGTCCAGGCTAAACCTCTACTAGGGCTTGGAGAATGCACCCAGCCCCTGCAGTTGCCAGCACCTGAGATTATGTGCTCGTGTTCTGAACCCTGGTTATGCCGTGGAAGCCTGCTGAATTTAGTCGTGACTTCTTTCATTGTCTATAGCATTTGTGAGTCCTGAGGGTTTTACTAATAATATCAAAAGTGAAACTAGCTAATATATGTAATAGAAGTAGTTTTGCTTGTGAGGAAAAGCAGTGAGGCTTCAGACACTGAAGAGTGATTTGGTGTTTAACTATCATCCTTTCACAGAATGGTGACTTTTTTCCTGAGTAAGATGGCCATTGAGTCATTTAGCAAAGATTTATTGAGCAGCTGCTGCATGTGGGGGCACTGGGTGCCGGGTGGAAGGCTGTAAATGAGCTGTGGTCTTGCCTCTGGGTTTTGATCTATTGGTTAGTTCAGAGCAGAAGTACTTTGGGAATTCCCTGGCAGTCTAGTGGTTAGGACTCGGTGTTTTCATTGCTGGGGCCTGAGTTCAATCCATGATTCGGGAACTAAGATCCCACCAGCCATGTGGTGCAACAAAAAACAGAAACCCCAAAACACCTTGTAAATACAGAGGACAGCAGTGCATGAGCACTGATAGAAAATAATGAGTGGATGTGAAAAAAGAAAAAAGAAAATATTGAGTGGATGTGGAGAGCCCCTGCATGATCTAAAAACACAAAAAGCAAACTGCAAATAGATTTTCCCAAAAGGAAGGTTTAATACTGTAAAGATGTCAGTTCTTTCCTCAGATGTATACATCCACTTAGTCAATTAATATATAAAGATAGTATTGCTTCCAGTGGCTTTGTTTTGTTTTTGGAAATTGATAAAACACTAAAGTCCATCTGGAGTATAAATTGGTGAGAGTTCCTATAAAGAATGTAGAAAAGTACAACAATAAATGAGAGATTTGACATCAAAATGTGTTGTAAGCTACAAGCATAGCAATATACAGCAACAGAACATCCTAATGGAGTAACACAGACCCATTAGGTTGACATAGAACATCTAGATGCAGATGTGCATATAAATGCCAGTTGAGCAGGTGATAAAGGTGGTCTCATGTATCAGAGAGTAACACTGTGTTAAGTAAGGGGCATTTGAACCGTGGCTCACCATTTGGAAAAAACGATTCTTTTCTTGTTTTTGGTTAGTCGTTGGGTCCTGTCCAACTCATTTGTGACCCCATGGACTATAGCCTGCCATGCTCCTCTGTCCATGGAATTTCCCAGGCAAGAATACTCGAGTGGGTTACCATTTCCTTTTCCAGGGGATCTTCCCAACCCACATCTGAGGTTCCCACATGTGACCCACATGTGAGGATCGGACTCACATCTGCTGTATTGGCAGGTGGATTCTTTACCACTGAGCCACCAGGGAATCCCTTCTTTACTCATAGGAAACACTAAGATATGTACCAGATTGGTTGACTAATGTAAAAGACACCCTAAAAGTTCTAGAAAATGTAGGTGACTATTTATAAAATTATGTGGATATTCCAGAGCCTCACCAAAACAACCACTTAAATGCAGATAAGGATGCATAAAATATTCCAGATTCAGGGTTAGAGGAGACCATTCAGCAATGCTATGGAGAAGCAGATGGTTAGAAAACATTTACAACATATCATGACAGAGGGTATACAACTGGAATACCTAAGTAAGTCTTTCAAAGAAATAAGACATCCATGTACTTACTAAGAGGACAGTGGGTGCAAGATGTAAAAGGCAGTTCCCATGAGAAAGGGATAAGTGGGCAGCAAATGTGGGAGAGTTCCCCTCGAGGGGTGATAAGAGCAGAGCACATGATCAGCGTCCAGAGACTGCCCTGTCGCCGCTCGGTTAGGTGGGACTTGGTTTTATTTACTTATTTTATTACAATTTTTAAAGTTGAAGTGTAGTTGATTTACAATACCTCAGGTGTATAGTAAAGTGATACTATACACCTATACATGTGTTAAATATATATATATATATTACATATATATTCTTTTTCAGAATCTTTTCCATTATAGTTTATTACAAGATGTTGAATATAATTCCCTGGGTTATTCAGTAAATTCTTGGTGATGATCTGCATCATATATAGTAGTGTATATCTGATAATCCCAAACTCCTAATTTATCCCTCCCCCCTTTTGCCTTTGATAACCATATTTGTTTTTATGTCTGTGGATTTATTTCTGTTTTGTAAATAAGTTCATTTCTATTATGTTTTTAGGTTCCCCAGGTTTGGTTCCATTAAAAAGAGGGTTTGCCTGGTGGCTGTCACCTCAGGTGTGTGGTGATGTCTACCAGTCTGCTGCTGGGGGCTGGGATGTGGTTTGGGATCCACGTGTTGGGCTATTATCATCCTGTCATCCCTTCTCATAGTCTTTGTCTTCCAGGAACTGGGTCATGTCCCTCCAGGGGTCCATCTTTCATTTACTGCCACTTTACACAGCCACACCTCCCAGGCCCTCCTGGTTCTGCAGGGTCACCTCCCTCACTATGGTGTGTGCTTTCTTGATTTTTACCCTGCTGACAGCACCCCTTCTTCTAGAAGGCATGCATGATCCAGATTCCATGGAGAGGGCAGCTGGTACCTGTTCATGGGATCCAAAGCCCCCAAACATTCTGTAGTGACCAGAGGGGTGGGCATGTGTCACAGAGGGGTCCTCCTGGACTGTGCCATGGTGTAGAGGCCTGGAGCCCTGAGGATGTTGTGGCCTGGGTGTATCTACCAGAGCCTGACGTCTCATGCCACCAAAGTTGTTAGAACATTGATTGCCTTGACTTATTTGGGGCTTCTGTATAAAGGAAACAACCTACTTTGAAGTTCCATAAAAAAGGAAACGACCTCCTTTGAGGTTTGTTTTAACCATTAGAAATCTTTTGCTTGCAAACAGTTGAAACCCCAGTTTACGTTAATTAATATAATAAAGGGAATTTGTCACTCATGTAACTGAGAAGTCCTTGGGTAGACCTAACTGCAAGCACGGTTTAATCCAGGCATCTACTTGCAGACGAAGTTTAATCCGGGCACCTAGATGATATTCCCAAAGTCCAGGTATCTCTCTCTGTTTTTGCACTGCCTTCCTCATGTCAGTTAGCTCCTTGGCCTCTCAACAGTCTCCAACACCTTGGAAGCTTCCACAGGTTACCTACCTCCCACTGCGTTGTTCAGAGGAATAAGAGAATGCCTCTTGGTGGGCTTCCAGAGACGAAAGAGAAAGCATCTCTTTCCCAGGGGAAACTGTCCTCAGATCTCAGTGGCTCTGATTGGGACACGTCCCCATTCCTAACAAGCCAGGGTGCTGTCCTGACCCTGCAGCTGGAGTAGAGTTAATCCTGCTGGAACCACTCGACTGAGAATGGGAGGTTCAAGGCATCATTCCTGGAGTTGGGGAGTGGGAGCAGGGCACCAGGCAGCTGGCGGGGCAAGGAGTGGTCTGAGCATCTCTCCAAGACTCCAGGAGTCCCTTAAACCTCCCATTCTCAGCAAATCCAGGAATCTCGTGGTGCCCTTAGTAGAGATTCTTGCCACATCTTTTTCCTGATGGCCCCTCGCTTCCTCCTTGGCAGTCCCTACTGTGGAGTCTTTGTTCCCTTTTGCAAGTGTATAGCGTGTAATTGAGAGTCTGGCACTGGTCCTAATGATAACACCGCTAGTTGGAATGTGTCAGGCTGGAGTTCAATTTGATATTTCTAGTTCTCATCCCAGATTTTTTTCTCTTGTTGCTTTTGCAAAGCCCGCCTTGTGTTTGTGGGTGGACCCCCCCCATCCCTATTCCCCCCATCAAAGTACTGTCCATGTGTGTCATCCAAGTTCTACAAAAGAGGAAACTGAAGCTGAGGAAGGTTCTTTGGGCCCAAAGATGGCGGGAAGGATGGCTGCAGAGAAGGGAGCTTGGGCAGTGCCTGTTTGCTGGAAGGAAGTGCTTGATCAGATGCCAGTGGAAAGGTGACACTGTCCTCCCTGAATTGGCACAGTACTTTCTATTGAAACCACACTTTTTCTCAGATGGGATTTAAACCCAGCCCAAACTCGGATTGGGACTTGTATCCACAGGCTGGGACTGGAATTCATGATCCCTGACTTAGGAGAGGACTTGAACCCACTCTTTTTTTTATTGGCTGCCCTGGGTCTTTGTTGCTCTGTTTCTCTGGTTGCGGCGAGCAGTGGCTACTCCGTTGTGGTGCGTGGGCTTCTCATCGTGGTGGCTTCTCCTGTTGTGGAGCACAGGCTGTAGGAGTGTGGGCTTCAGTAGTTGTGGCACCCAGGCTTAGTTTACACTTGGCATAGGGAATCTTCCTGGACCAGGGATCAAACCTGCATCTTCTGCATCGGCAGGTGCATTCTTTACCACTGGACCACGAGAAAAGTCCAAACCCACTGTCTTTT